CCCCAAAACCCCAAAACCCCAAAACCCCAAAACCCCAATTAACAAAAAGAGGTTGAAAGACCTTCTATTAAGTTCAAAACTTTATATGTTCGAGACCATTCTCTTCCAGAGTTTTTAGAGCATCTATATTATCTATACTAAAATCCATAAGCAAGAGCTCTTGGAGGTTATTTCTTATGTCTTGTGAAGAAGCTAATGCCTTTATTAGCTTCTGGAAATGATCTTTGTTTCTTCCCCAGTCATTAGTCCAGCAAGTCCCACATGTATCAAATTCCAGCTTTTTATACTTGGAATTTACTAGTGATTTTTAAAAATCTATATTATCTTTCAATGATATTTCACACTCTTGCAGAGACAGTGCCTCCAAATGTTTGAAAGCTGAAATGAGTCTGTTGAATTGATAATTATCCAATCAGAAACATTGAAACACAGCATACTTCAGAGTTTTAAGTTTGAGAATTTGTTCAGCCATTTCATGCATAGGGTGAGCTAGAGCAAACCTGAAAGCAGGTTCAAAGAGATCCTTACTCTGTAATAGTGTACCAGGAATGCTCCTTTGTCCCCTTGAGGGAGGGTATGGCAAAATAAATATTCAGGGCCACGAGCTAAATTTTGAGAAGTTTAAGCTAAGATTCAGTTTTGGTCATGAAATTGAATTAAATTTGAGCTAAATATTCCTGAATGAATGATGCCTATAAATAAACTAAATCTGGATTAAAGCATTTTCTATCATACCTTGGACACTCCCTATCATGAGTTTGAGAAATGCAACTTCTGTTACTTAAATTAATTGTCTAAATGAAAGCTAAAGGAGAGCCACTAGGTTGATGTTTCCAACAATTTCTATACCAAAGAGCTTGAGCCCTCTCATCTTCTTTAAATATTTTTTATTTAGTTCTTGGCTCCACAACATCCCAACGTAATAAGCCTGATCATATTCATATTGATCGTTTTCGATATTTTGCCTACTGGTTTCTGCTCTACCGATTTCATATGCAATTTTTTTTTCTCTTTGAAAATCCATTTCTTTGCTTTCCTCCAAGGTTGCCTTCTCTTGGCTATATCATGAATTTAAAGCTTGAGTGAAAATATAGGGATTTATAGTAAGAAAATAGGACTTGGGTAGAGTAGAGAAAGAAGAATCAGAGAAGGCTGGCATGGAAGAGGAGAATAGGAGGGCTATGGGAGGAGGAGAGAGATATAGGTTTGGAAATATAGTAGTATGTGATAGAGGAAGGTTGGAAGCAGGTGTTGGGATAGGAAGAAGGAGCAGAAGGATAAATGAAGGTCTTTTAGATCATGGATTGTATGAATAAAAATGAAGAATGAGCTACCTTATGAGATTCTCAATCTTTTCTTCAATGGGATAAGCTTTATCCTCCCTATTATTAATCCAAAATTCTATATCCAACATTAAAAACGGGGTTTTGGGGTTTTGGGGTTTTGGGG